AGCATGGTGACCCCTGGTTTTCCAGGAGACCGCAAACTTTTCGACAAGAGGGGAGCAGCAGCTCCATTAGAAAGTTGCCGCCACACATATCAATTACAGAAGTTTTCGTTAGTCGTCCTGCGTCCTGCGACGTTCTGTAATTGCATGGAAAATGGCAACCGCAGCTCCGTAGATTCAGCAGCATCTGCCAGCTGGCTAGACGGCGTCTTTTGGTGAGTCCCCCAAAACTTAAATGGAATTTTGCATGCAGCTGGACACCGGAGAAGTCATAACTTGACCGACTCGGTGGCACAATACATTTCCGTTTAAAGCTTTCATTCCGCTTTCATTTCCTTAAAGTTTTGCTCTTTTAATACTCTGGCAGAAGAGTGTCATAATATTTTTATTGCTCATATTTTTATTATCATAATATTTTTATTGCTCATAAAATATGACTTAAATTTAAATATTAATATTTATATTAGATAAATAAGTCTCTGTGGATTTTAAATACATTTTTTACTTAACTTAAGGCTGAAATATGAAAGAGAATCTTAAAAGCTCGCTTTAAATTTTATAGAAATATTTAAATATCTTCTTCTGTTTGATTTTGTATATTTAAAAATTCCTTTCTATATATTTCAGGGTACTTAAATTCTATATCTTCATTTTCAGCGCTTTTTCTTTTCCTGTTCCCTTATTTGTTTGACATTTTATTGCTTAAGTAGCGACTACAAATTCCCTTATTGTTATTCCATTCTCTTTTTGCGAAAAATATCTTGGCTGCGTTTTAATATTTTTCCTACTTTCCTGACTTAAATGCGTAAATATTGTTATGCTTTTGGCAATGAATGCGTCCAAAAAGACAACAAGCGAAAAGATTAAATAAAAAAAATGCAATGAAAAAATACAATTTTCGCTGCTTTGGCGGAGGTAAGCAAAAAAGTTTGGCGTTTCCTTTTTTCTGTATAATTTTTTTTTGTGCGTGGATATTAAATGAAGCTGTAAGGTCCTTCTCTGCCTTTGTAGTGGCTGCTGAAATTTTGTTTAGGGTCGCATTTCAAAAGTTCTCATTGAATTGATGTCCCAACGAGGGCTGAGGGTGGTGAAAAATGTTTGAAAACAGTTTTTCGCATGTGGGAAAACAACATACAAATAACTAGCAGCAGGGGCTTGACCGATGGGAATTTTGTTTTTCGTTGATGGCTTGCCCAGGTGTAATTCGAATATGTTTTATGGTAGTTTTTCAAGAATTTACATAAATTGGATGTAAATCAAAGAAATATGCATAAATCTGTGGGCAAGGTGAGCAAAATGCTGGAGAAACTTTTGGAAAAAAATGTTAAGGCAACAATGTTTGCTGGATTTTTATATTAAAATATTTAATGGGAACAGAAAGCTTAAGGATTTTATAGTATTATTTATAAATTATTGAATTAAAGAGCGTATACTTGATATTTCAACCTAGCTTAAATTAGAATTTTTCCTTCAAATTAGAACGGAAAGTCGATTATTTGGGGAGAACGATTTATATAAACTTAGTAATTAGCAAATATACTTTTTTAAAATTTTATAAAATCAATAAATAATTTAATAAACCCACGCATACGTACGTATACTTGATATTTTCCTCAGGCTTGAATTACAATGTCTCCTGCAGTCCAGAACGACCGATTTTGAATGGAAAGACAATTTTAGGATTGAGTATTCCTATTTATTAAGTAATTAGTAAATATATATTTTTTAAATATTTTTAATATCTATAAAAAACTCAAAACAATTAATTATAGCTACGTATACGTTATATTTTACCCCAGCTTAAATCAAAATCTCCTCCTGCAGTCCAAGTCCCTACAATTAAAACGGAAATCCAACTACTCCGGAATACACGGTAATAACACGCTAAGTAGCAAAATTAAGATGTCGGGCCTAGTCTTACCTTCGATGGCAAATGTCGCCTTAAGACGATAACCATTTGCACTCAGCAGTGCAAGGCAAGGAGCAGGACCTTAAGTATATATACGGCCAGCTTGGAGGACACCAGCAAAATGCATTTACGGCGTAATCCAATCACGGCAATAATGAAATGCTAAGTGCCAGACACACGAACCAGCGCACCCAGGGGTGGGTTAAGTGTACCCGAAGGGTGCCATATCCAGTTGGAGCCGCGTCCAGCGGCCGGAAGCCGACAACCGACAGCCGGCAGATGGCCAGACAAAGCTCCTTTTGGACGCAATCTGTGCGCCAGTGTGCCGAAAATGCAACAGATCCTGCAGGCAGCAGGGTCCAGTTGGAAAAGCCGCTCTTATTTCTTCCTTTCTGGGTCACGTTTCGTGTTGCTTATTTGCTGGAGGGGTTTTCTTTGGGTCTGCGTGGGGAAAAACACTGGGGGAAAAATTAATTTTAAAGCTGGAAAACTATTTGTAAGTTACTGATCTGCAAAGAAACTATTTAAAAAGAGTTTAAAGATACATAAATTGAGAAAATTTAGTAAATTTTAATTTAAACTTTTTAAAATTTGTATTTTCAGTTTTTTTTCCCCCAGTGTAGTTAACAAAGATTTTTAATAGCCCACGTTCCAGATTGCTCGCCATCGCTGCTGCTTTCCTATCGTTTTGGCCGGCTTTCCCGCCCGTTGTTAACGCCAATGACAATGAGGCTTCTCTTTTTGGTGCTGCGACTTGTCCTTTTCCTTTTTGCCCAGGCTTTTGAGCTGCCCCTGACATTGACATCTTTAGTGGGGGAACCAAATTGCTTTACCCCTTAGAATCGATTTGTGGTTATGGCAAGAGGAGGGGTGTTAACACAGGATCAAAGAGTTACCTGGAAACCGCAATTTCCGCAGATATAATTCAATTACCCTGCAGGCGACCGCAGATATCTGCATATGTGATGGACAGGTCTCTCTCAAAACACACACAAACTAATTAACTAATTAAAACCGAGTTTCAAAATCAGAAAAGCTGCCTTACCGCATAAATCAAATGCATTCCCACTTTAAGCCAACTTTTTGCTTTATAAAAAATAAATACAAATACAAATTGAAACCCCAGCTGAGAATTATCAAAGGCGAGAAGTCAAGAGTAATAATGATACACACAGATGTGCCAAGGAGGAAAGTAAAATAAACCAAAACCAAACACGGAAAATTCTCACAAATTTGCACTCGAAAAAGTTGCTAAGCTGTCGTTTCCCCCTCTACCAGGACTTACGCAAATCCCCCAACAAACAGCTCAAAGCTCAAACGTTGCTGCCATTTATTTATTTTTTCCTTTCAATGAATTGCTTTTCCCCATATTTGAGTTAACACTCCTTTCACTGCTCTCACCTTTCTCCAATGCAGGTACTATATATATTTGAGAAACCATTTCGAAACCAGACCGGCAACAACTCTTTATGCTGGCGCGCTGAAACGCATAAATCAATGGGGGCTAAAAGGCAAGAAGGCAAGTCGGGAGCCGGGAAAGTGGCAGAAAGCCAAGTTTCTAAAACTTGATTTAATGCCGGTGCAGTAAGCAGAATACAATATATTGGCAGGTTGTTCTCCAAAGTGCGCTGACTTAAAAGCTCTTAACTCGACTTCAGTTCAATCGTATCCAAATAAATCAACAGCCAAGGCAATGGCACCGCCGAAAATACTCCCGAGGCTCACAAACAGTTTCAGATTTGTTCACTGACAAATGAATCCTGGGGTAAAAAGATGTCAAGTTCTCCTGGGTTTTCAAGAGTACAATTTGTGGAGAGTTAAGGTGAAAGGATTCAATAGATTTTAAGGATTATCTACTCGTGGAAATGCTTTATCGTGGCTTGGGAAGCATTTAAAGACTGTTTGGCTTCATGGTCATCATTAAAATATCGGTTACTATTATTATTATTTTAAATCTAAATATTTTCAGGAAACCAGGAATTACTTTTGGAATTTTTTATATTTTTTTTCTTACTTTAAACTATTTGAAAAATTTGTAAACTAACCTTTAACCAAGTCTCTCCTCCCATAACTACTCATCACAATATATTTCATACAAACTTTCCTTTATTGACACACTTTCAAGCACATTTACATAATTTAATTAAATTACTTAGCCTAAATTACACAATATATTCAGCTCATTCCATGAGATACTTGTTTGTCAAACAAATGTAATTTATTTATTTATATCAAACCTCCAAAAACAGCAAAAATGTTCACATTAGCATTCCAGCCAGTTACACATTTGAATAATTTATTTGTTCGTTTTTTCTCGGTTTACAGACGACGACTCGTAAGTCAAGAAAAGATTAATTAAAATTGTGCTTAACCCTGCTCTATGGCATCCTTTTTTCAATTAAAACTCTGCCTGTGACTACCGCCGACTTTTTTTTATAGTTGCATTGACTCATCTGCCGGTTTGTCCTCGTAAAAAGTTTTTTATTTGCCATTTTACGAGTGTCTTGGATGACTCTGTGTTGGCTCTGGCTAAGCTGCTTATATTGCGCAATCCCGTTTTATTCGTTTTTAATTGCATAATTCAGTTAAACTACCTAATTGGTTAATTATGAAATCAGAGAATGCAGGAGCAGAGTTTTTCTGCTTAAATTTAAAAAGGTTTTTAGGATAGAAAGGAGTTTTATTTTATTTATTTCATAAGGTTTTAGGGTTTTCATTGGGAGTAAAATATACAAACTAAAAATGAAATATTTTAGGAACTCAGTAAAATAAATAAAAAATTAAATAAGTATTTTATTCTAATTCTAGTTTCTTTATTCATTTAAATGTAAATTATTTGTTTAGATATTGCTAATATATATCGTTGTGCGGTCTAGAATTCACAAAGAGTTTTTGATTAAATCAAATTCGAAATCTTTTAGATATAGACACATAGTAATACTGCTTAGTCTCAAATGTTTTTAGGTAGAAAAAGATTAAAACGTAGTTTAAATGCCTTGCCTTACAGCTACTTTCTTAATTCCATTTCAGATTTCCGTTTAAGGTATTTCTTTAAAATTAATTTCGTTCCAGAAAAATTCCTACTTAAACTGGGTTACAAATCTGTTTGCTGCACTGCTCCCGATCCCCTCCTGGCGGTGGTGCAAAAGGCCTCCTGCTGCTCACTCAGACAGATAATCAAATTTTCTGGCGGAGCTGACGCCTTGCCATTGGAATTGCAGGACTTTTGTGTCGCCGTGGTACCGGTCTTCTCCGCCGTAGTTGTGGACGACGTCGTGGTCGATGAGTTGTTGTTACCCGCATTCAAAGGCAGCAGCAGCGGCGGTATTTGTGGATTATTGGTCAGCAGGCGTTTGGAGCCGCCTCTCCTGCGGCTACCTTGCTTGGTAAACACACTCGGTTCCATCTGCAGCTGGGCATTGATCTCCTGCTGATTCATACAGGTGAAGGCCTTGAAGAAGCTCTTCCTGAAGTTCTCACTCAGAAAGGCATAGAGTATGGGGTTTACCGCTGAATTTGAGTAAACCAAGGCGCCGAGGAGCAGGAATATAAGTATCTCCAGTCGGGAGAGATCTCTCTGGGCGGGATTGGAGTTGATCAGCGCCAACTGGGACAACCAGTGGGGCAGCCAGCAGCATATGTACACCGTAATCACGGTCAAGACCAGCCGGGTAACCTTCCGATGAGCTCGCCGCTTCTCCTTCGACTTGGCTGCCTGCTTGGGACCCACCGACTGCAGTTTCCTGATGACCAAATAATAAAAACTCAGGATAAAGCACAGCGGAGTGGCAAAGCCCAGGAAGAAGGTGTACAATATAAAGGTGGTGCCCGAGTGCTTCTTGTAAGCATCCGGCCACATAATGTTGCAGGAGTAATTAATGCCATCCTCCTGCTCCACAGTGCTGGCATACAGGATTACAGGCAGCATCAGTACCGCCGATGTGGTCCAGGCCACCGCCGACACTATCTTTGCTATGTGCAGGGTACGATAACGCGGCGAGGATATCGGATGGCACACAGCTATATAGCGATCGGCCGACATGATCAGCAGGAATATCGAAGAGGTGAACGAGGTAATTGAAGTGCTCACCATGTACGCTTTGCACATAAACTCCCCGAAACGCCAGCTGCAAATCCTCATGGTGTACAGCAGAAAGGGTATGCCTATGAGGAAGCACTCGTCGGCCACTGCCAGATTGAGGATGTATATGTTTGTCACCGTTTGCATCTTGGAGAAACGTAGAACCACATAGATGACCAAGGTATTTCCAAATAAACCAATGATGCACACGAGACTATAAAGCACCAAGGTGAACAGATCTGCCACGGAATTCCTTGTGGCTATGCAATGCTGATACGTGGGCAATTCGGTGCCATAGACAGGCTCCTCTGGCGGAATAGTGGAGCCACTGATCCATCTATAGCTATGTTCCGTTGTGTACAAACTCTCGTTGGTATTATACCAATTTGTGGCATTCAAATAGGGCTCCGGTGTTGTAGCCCCACTAACGAACTGGAGAATGCCCATCATCAGCCAGGTAAACATGGTGTGTGGCCTGCCTCCGTGTTCCCTCTGCTGAACGTAATTATTTTAATCAGTTCCCCTCCGTGGGCTCCCTCCTCTCGTTATGGCTTCGCACATTGTGCTGGTGGTCCTGCAATATAAATTTCATTATCACATAAAATGTTTCCATAGGTGTTTGCTTTTGTTTGTATAATGAGGCTAAATATTAAAATTGCAAACTGGCATATTTTGCTGATCAAAATTGATTGGATTCTAATTAAAATGTTTTGGGAAGAGTGTGAAAATTTAGCTACATTTAAATTGGTTATGGATAAACCAGTGGTTAAATTTGTTTTGGTCAATTTAGTTTTCTTTAATCAATTTGTTCTTTTAAATCGTAATGAGTACAAATATTTTATAAAATTTCTCTTGAGCTTTTACATTTTTAATAGTAAATAATATCACTTAAAACCTATTTCAAAGCTCCCAATTTTTCTATTTAATTATTAAAGTAAACATCTTTAAATGACACTTGGTGAGAAATTATTGAACTTGTACTTTGGACTCTGACAAATCGTATGTTTTCCAATTGAAACTCTCAACTCCACAGGCTTCACTTTCAGACTCTTTGCCGAAGTTTCTTAAAAACTTTTACTGCCATTTTCTGGAATACTCTCCCTCTCTCTGTAAACTTTCTCTGAACAACTTGTAGAACATCGTATTTCTATAGGAAAAATATATATAATTTATGACATAAATCATCTGTTTACTGCTTGCCCCATTCATTTGCACGCAGTAAAAGTTCATGATTTATGATAAGTCAGTTACGCTAAATTTGATTTGTTAGGCGCTGCAAATTAACATTTAAATTGAAATTAAATTGCGCACAATTTGTCAAACCAAACAAAACAAGTACAAGTACAAACAACTCTCTAATATTTTCATGTCCACCCCACACTTGGTCTAAGTAAATAAATAAAGGCACAAGGAAAATGCTGGGTGGGTATTTATGCAAATATCAGGTGAAAATATTTGCTCATTAAAATTCAGAAAACCCCAGAGCTATGATGCCTCATTCTTGACCTCTAAGGATACTAGTGTTGTGAAGGTATACATGTCCTTATTTAAGCCGCTTAGCGTATCAATGCGTTCCGGCAAAGACATGAGGGGATTAGAGCTCATATTAACTCTCATCAGAATGTCTTTGTCTTAAGCTAAATTAAAATGGCTTTGCATATTAGTCAGTTAATTCCGAAGCCATAAATCAACATTTAGCTTGGGCAATTCTGACACGACTTGAGCAGACTAATTTTGGCGAAAGGCTTTGAATTTGCTGGGGGAAATTTGTAAATTTGTGTTTAACTTGAATGTGGATGAGACATGTTTTAGCTTTGAGTATTTGTAGTTTAAGCAGCTTAATTTAAGGCGCATAAATAAATTTGATTTATTTTTATATTTCCTTAAATGGTTTTTGTTTGGAAGAGCTGTAGACTTTTATAATAAATAATTTTAAAATGTTTCTAAACGCATTATATAGATTTCTTTTCAGTAAATAAGTTGTTTTCTTGAAAATTTAAAGTTCCTTTAAGTTTTTTTGGATTAAATAAAAAATTTTAATTACATTTTGAAGATCAAAAGATTTTTCTTGATTTTTATTTTAAACAATAAATTCTTCTGAGACCGAAAAATGTGTAATCAAGCAACCTCGTTCGTTGTCTTGGATTTAAATACTTTTTTTGGTCTTTAGGCTGTGAAATTAAATTATAATAAATTTTCAATTTTATGGTGCATAATATATTCCATCCAACCTTCATTTTCATGGTATTTGCTTGGCTATTACACTTGCATTAATCTCTATGTTTGTCTTGAATTAGACCAACAAGATATTCAAGTTGATGGCCAGAAGTCTTGGGGTTGTCTTGACACTATTAGGCAATGCAACTTCAATTCCCTCAATGTTTGTTACCAAAAGCAATTAAGACATAGACTTGTAGATTGTAAATAGTTGATGTTTGGTTTGGTAAAGAGAGTTTGCTTGCAATTAATCAAGGCTATGTTTGACATAGACTTAAGACTAAGTCTAATTACTTAGCTGTCTTCAAATAAAATAATCAATTTCCTAAAATTTAAATACAAAACTTTGATTTGATTGACTTTTGTTATGTTTACTCACCCAAAATCCCAAATCCCCTATTCAATATCGCTTATCCCCTAGAACTCCCAAATGTTATTCTCCTTCCTCCACTGAGGGTATGCCTTATTCCACATTTTACCGTCGTGTCACGTGCCGTTGTTTGTTTGATCAAGGAATTAAATCCCAGACCAGCGACAGGTGTAAATCCCCACCGGCAATTTCGCCCCAGTGCTATCATCATCGTTGGCTCCTGGATTGTTGTTCGACATTTATTGTGGCTGTTGCTGGCGTTTGGCTTTTATTGTTGCTGCGAGTGCAACTGTTATCGGCAAACCGCAATGGAGGCACAAATTGCAAGATTGCCTGGGTTGCCACAGCCCCCAGAACCCCCCACAAAAAATGTACAAAAAGTGGAAAGGAGAAGAAAGAGACACACACATGTGCTGCAGTTGTGTATCTGCACAATTCACTTGATGACAGGCAGCAGACGGCTGAGACCATTTCAAGGAAAGCTGCTGACTTAGTTTTCTACGGGGAAAAGGAAAATGGAGAAGTAGAAAAACAAGTAGGACTTTTATACTTGAATAAAAAATTTGAAGTGATTTTAAAAATAGTTCCTTGTTTTTAATATTTTTAAAATTGTTAAAATAATATTATTTTAACCAGAAAATGAAAAGAAAGTACCATAATATTGATTATATTCATGCTAAAAAATATATATTTATTATATTAATTATTATTATTATTATTTATTATATTAATATTTCCTACAAACCCTTGTTTCCAAATAATTTGAAGTATTTCATAATTTTTTAAATTTCTTCTTCGCATTTAATTTAATTTTTTTTTAGTGCATATTGCATTTTGAGGTCTCAGCTGAGCTTGGGGATGTGGTGCACCCAAAGGAAGGTGACGAAGCCATCATCTGCTCATCGCTCCCTTGACCACATTTTGTCAGCTCTCACTGTCTCTGTTCTCCTCATCCCTTTCTGTGTTTGTGTCCTGTGTGCTCTGCGGCATTTATTAAAAATTTATGCACTTTATGAGACCCTCAAGACAAGGGTCTCCAATGCATTTCGTTGGCAGCTTTCGTTGATGGACATGCGTTGAGACCCTTGACGATGTGACGAAAGTCTATAAAAATCAGCATTTTTAGCTTAGAAAGCTTAGTTGGATGCAGAGTTTAAGCATAAAAGACAAAGTTGATTTTGGATTTAAAAATGCTTAAAAATGAAATTTAGAAATAAGGAAACAGTTTATATTTGTAGCAAGGGGTAGTAAATAGTAATTCAATTTTTATTTAAAGTTTGATTTAATACTTGCAATATTTTTTAAATCCTATTTGCATAAGCAATCTACATTTCTCCACATATTCTCAATGAAATATATATCACTCCTTCCTTTTCCTATATTTCCCCCCTTTTCGATCATTATCATTGCCACTTAACATTCAACATACTCATAATTCATTTGAACAAAGCTCAATGCTTTCGAATTTGCGCTTATTTAATTAAAACTTTATCAAAAGTTTACACAAACCGCACTCGCTGAAAATGGCCCGACTGTTGCCTGGCGTGTGCTTCTAGATTATGTTACCAAAAATACAGTTAGTATGCCGCAGAGCAAGCTGTAGAATATATATGGCTTAAAGGGGAGAACAGAGGCTTCAACAGGGCAAAAGGATGAAGCAGGCTGAAGGAGTCGTCGCCTGGCTGGCAACAGCTTGGCAAATGTTTAGCCGCTCGCTTTGGTTTCAAGCAGCAACAACAAACACGACCCAAGTAACTCACGGGCGGCGAGCTGGGTAAGTGGAAAAAGGGAGGGTAGAGGATGGCGGGAAAACGGACGACCCGAAGGCATGCGAGGAGCATAATTTTTGGGATAAACACCAAGTACAACATGCATACAAGCCGGGCTCTAAACACATGCGGGCACTGTTAAAAAATATTTTAAAAAATATTAAAAATATAAATAAAATAGTTTTTCTTGCTTTTTTTGTAAAAATTATTGGGCGGTTTGCATATTATTGCTTGTATTTTTTACAAGTTCATATAAACACCAATATCTTGGAGACTATTGGAAATAGAGCTGTAAACTTTGGTGACAATATTATTTAAAGTTTATCGCAAATTAAGGAGGGTATTAAAATCATAAAAAAACTACAGTCTTTAAAAGGTTAATTGTGGTTTGTGCTCTTTGCCTTTTAAATTTTTACTCTGTTTCTTGTTAAATATTTTCCCTCAGTGTACTTATACAAGCCTGCCTGTGTATGTATGCAAATATGACTAGCAAATTTGCATGTATGCACAACACAAACAAAACAAACTCACACACACACACACGCTGAGAAACACAGCCGCATGTCAAGAGCACTTGGGTGTGGGACAGAGGTCCTTGTTTCAGGATTGGACTGAGATGGGTGCTTTAGTTTATGGACCCAGCAGCGAGTGTAGAGTGCAACATAAACAAAACTCACTCACCTCAGTGGCCACTAACTTTGGCTCCTAATTTCGCATACCCCCTAAAATCCACCCAGCTCACTTACATGATAACTCGCTTTTACGCTGGCAACAAACGCACTTAATCTTTGGGACACATTTTTGGCTTTTGGCCACAGGTTGCCACTCCACCTGACCTTTTGGCACCAAATGAAAGCATAGTAAAACATGTGTTGCATAACAAACACCACACCACACACACACATATAGTACAACACAAACGCCGGAAACCGACAACAACAAGTGCAATTATAATCCCGGCGGCTTTTGTTTTGGAAGCTCTTGGCTGTTGTTGTTGCACCTGTTGGCTTTAGTTTGAGTAGCGCCCACTAGAAAATGCACAAAAAAAAGTTGGCATAATCGCCCTTTGTTACATTTTTAACATACTACAAGTGGGTGTTGTGTGTGTGTGTGTTTTTTGAGCACTCTCCTTAATCTCTTATTGTGTAACACAGAATTATTTAATTCCGGGATTCGTTATATCATTTAGTTCTTTGAAATATAAATAAACTGTAAAGG